TATAAATACTTCTTCCTTCATCCCATATATTTCACTATAAAAAAGAGTTCTTCTTACTTCTCTCTTGCGCTCTTTCTCTGATTACGATCTCCTCTCTCCTCTAAAACCTTTAAACAAGAATGGTGAAGGCTTCCATCTCTGTACCTCATGATGATGTGCCTCCCCCTTCTTTATGCTCGTCTAAGGGTAAGGCAACAACACCCCCTAATCTTGAGGAATTCATCCCAGGATCTTGCGAAATGATCTCCGATTTCAAGATCGAGAAGCCTTCTTCGAAACCGGGACGGTGTGAGCCCGTTTCCCGATATATCAGTTTAGTAGCGGATGGTGAGAAGGTGAAGACTGACTGTCGCTAGGGGGATTCAGTGTTGTTGGAGCTTCCTTCTCGAGGAGAGGACATAACAGCATATAAGGTCGGCTTCCTTAGTGTGTATACTTACCCATTTACTCTCGGCCTGATGGAGCCGTCCTCGCCTTCAATAGATCCCGTGATCATCGACTTTTCTGAACGATATCAAGTGACTCTCATCAAAATTCATCCGTTGTTCTGGCGTATTGTTTATATGACTAGATATTATGCAAACATGATTGAGGGGATGCCTTTCACCCTCGACCACCTGATCAGAATGTACAGTCCCCGACTTCTCTGAGGGGGCCTAATTAAGCTCCGATGTCGGGCCTAAAAAACCTTTTTTGCTTGTACTGACAAGGTTAGGTACTGAGGGTCGATGAGCTGTTTCGTCCGAGTTAGGACCTCGAACATGATCCTAGTGGAGAAGATGTCGTTCCCCGAAAGGTGGAACACGAAACGTAAGTGGATACGCTAATTAAGTATTTTCTTTCCCTTTAGGATCAATTTCCCCATGAACTAACTTCCTTCACTAATGCAGCTAACGCGGTATACCCCGGCGTGGTTAGGGATCTCTCGGGCTGGATTCGACTTGCCCATATGTCGAGCGTGTGTGGTACAACCTGTCTAGGGCTCGATGGGAGGTAAAGGACCTCGGTGAGCCCTCACTTTCGTTGTACTTGAATCTCTCAGAAGAACTATCGCCAATTGCACCCTAATTCCTTGTGTTTATATTTTGTATTTGTGTAGGTCTAGGAGAGCCTCCTTGATGAGAGAAGCACCGCTTGGGGAAGGGATACTCCGAAACCTGACAAAAAGGAGAAAAGACGAAGGGAATCATCGATTGAGCCTACGAAATCCAAGAAAGCCAAAGTGGAAGAACCTAAGGTTGGTTCAGCAGCCTTAACTCCAGGAGTAGCGGAGAGTCCCCAGGTTGAAGGTGAGGAGAAAGATGATTCCTTGGTAGCATCCGAGGGAGGGAAAACCCTGATTGTCCCTCATACTGCTGAGACAGTGGCTTCCAAGTCGGAACTTCATGTTGTTGTTGTCTTACCTCGGGCTGAAGAGGCCTTCGAGGGTGCATCGGGTGATGTCCTCGAGCCGGTTGATGACCAAAATATTCCCCTCCAATACTGACTTTACCTCCTGGGGAGATGCAGGATGCTCAGGATAAAGAACCTTCCAATGTGGGGGCGCCCATCGGAGATAAAGATGCGTTTGAAGGGCCTTCGGCTGCGCTTGAGAAAAACCCTGAGCTCGACGCCTCACTTACGTTCAGTGAGATGGATAGGATACGTGAGTTTTAACATGTTTAGGCTTATATACATAGCTCGAGAAGCAGGATGTCCTTATGAGGGAGGAGCTCCGAGCTAGAGACTCCGAAATTCTCGAACTAAAATGGCACGTGAGTGAGATTGCTTCCGAGAGAGATATCCTCCAGGGGAAGGTGGTCTTAGTCGGGTATCAACTTCATGATGCGAGGGCGGAGAGTAATAAGTATAAAGATCTTCATACTGAATTAGTTGTTGTGCTATCCAGGATCGAATCTGAAGCTGGTTTCCTAGTATCCTCACACAAAGAGGGTGTTGTTGCAGCAAATGCTCGAGACTAGAAGAGTGCTCGAAAGGACCGAGTTGCAATTGACTCGAGCCATGGAACATGCTCGGTCAGAATCTCGGTGGCGGACTCTCGAGGATATACATGTAAGAGGCATTGATCTGCCTGCCGAGCTCGAGATAGCGAAGACCCTAGAGGAGAAGGCTACGGCCCTGCTTGCTTCTGAAAGTGAGTCAATCAGTGGCTCAGGAGATGATAAGGATGAAGGAGAAATCTCCAAAGGGGAAGAGGCCGTTGAAGACCCCGGGACCACGGCCGGAGCCATTGGAGGCACAACCTCTGAGGGAGCCATCAAAGAAATAGACCTGGTGGTAGATTAGGGTTTTATTTGTTCTCTCCCTTGTAAGGGCTTTATAGGACTTGTAAATGTACCCTTGTGAGCAATATATATGAATAGCTTTTTGTTTCTCATTATTTCTCGATTTTCCTTTGCTTCGACGACTGGTCCGGGAATTCGGACCTTAGATTAAACCCTTGGGTTCTTGCTACTGCTGGGCGATTTGTGACCGTCGAAAGTTGACCATTTGGGACTTAGTCCACGAGTCACGTTTTTGATTGGAGATTATCGACCATTAGGTCTAGAGATCGGCCCTGAGGCCATTTTAAGCTGGCGGCGATGGCTCTTACGCATTGGGTCGGTATGACCTATAACTTAAGTTGGCGATAGTGGCTCTTACGCATTGGGTATGTACGACCTTTAACTTAAGCTGGCAATAATGGCTCTTACGCATAGGGTCGGTGCGACCTTTTAATTTGGGCTGGCGGTAGTGGCTCTTACGCATAGGGTCAGCACGACCTCTTAATTTAGGCTAGCGACAGTGGCTCTTACGCATAGGGTCAGTACCACCTCTAGTATAGGCTTTATTATTTCCTCATTGAAATTTTTGTGTTCGTCCGACTCTTCGACGGTTTTGATAACAACCTTAATTGTGAGATGTTATGTGACGATAGTCGAGCACCTCGGGAGGTTTTGCTCGATGGCTGAATTATTTCGAAGCCTTTTTATTATGTAGAGCTGATATGATCGAAACTTTTTGTTTATGCTAAGGGTAGCCTAGTTAACTGGTTCTTTTTGAATCATTTCGAAGTAATTGAAGACCTATGATTTTATGGTGACAGTCGGGCATCCCCGAGTCACGTTAGTTTGGTTGGAGCCTTATGACCAGATTAATTGTATTTGGCTGTATCCTTTAGTCCCCAATTGAGGTAGCCTCGACGTCTATATCGAGGGTATGCCTTTTTAGGGGTCTTACAAGTTCGAATATATAGCCTTGACTTGAAGATCGGGATTATGACTTTTGTAACATCTTATAAATTTGGGCAGGCCTTGCTTGAGGTCTTACAGACAAGTTACTTGGCACAAGTATAATTTAAGCCTGGCTTGAGGTCTTACAGATTTGGGCGTGCTCGGAGGTCTTATAGAGTTCAAGATGCATCATGGAGGTCTTATATTGTTGATAATGCCTCATGGACATCTTAAATTTTTTAGCATCACCACATGGAGGGCTTTCGAGCTTGAGGTGGCCTGCTTGGGGTCTTATGGCCTCGAGTTTCAATAGTTCGATGGGGCAGCAGTCCCTGAGACATCGAGATTTTTTGGCTCTAGAGCCATTTTTTATGTTGCCTCATTGAGGGCTTATAAGCTCGAAGTTCCCGGCTCGGAGGACTTACGACTTTAAGTTTTGATGTCACTCCCCGAGTGTTTAGGAAATTTCTAGCTCTGGATTGTTTCTTGTGAAAATAGCAGATTTCTTTAAATCGTGAAGTGTTTTTGGTGGTAAAAGATACTCCTTTGATTACTTGGTACAAGTATACATGTTTTCGTCGTCAATGGTTCAATTATTCTATGCGGACACGGTTCATTCGACCATTTGGCACGATACATCATTTTCCTATCGAGACCTTTTTTGGCTTGTCTTGATTTCTCCGGGGATGACCTCCCGGGGGGGTGCCCCCCATTATTCGAGGTTGATTGAAAAGAGGCCTCGAATACATGTTAAGTTCTCGTTAGGTAGCATATAGGTGTTGCCTAGTTAAAAACCTTGCCGGTAAAACACTTCTTAGGATAAAATCCGATCGAAGGAAATGAGCGCAACGTGTGCTTTAAAACCTAAGGTCTTCAAGATGGGAGGTACTTTTATTCTTCTGACCGGACGCTAGTACACAGGTTAGTGTAAGACGTAAAATGAAAAGGGAGGCGGTTATACCTTAGCAATTATGGCGTTTCGAGCCTCAATATTCTTCAACTGCTTGCTTCGAGGACGCAGTATTGTCCTTTGCTCACTCACTCGGGTGCAATCGAGAGTGTGGCTTGTGATTGCTACTTTGCTGTTTATTTATCCTTTTGGCTCCTTTGAAGGGATCAATGTCGGAGTCGTAGGATGTTTCAGTGTTTTCCATCAGACACCTCAATAGTGTGAGTACCTAATTTTTGACCATATTTGAATTTTCACTCACTCTTTAGTATGTAAATATATTTATTAAGTTTAATCTTGATATTTTAGTTTTTATTTAATTTTTTAGTAGGTTAATTTGATAAAATTAAAAATTACAAAAAAAGTCAAATTTTTAGAGTTGTAGATTTTATTCTTGCAAAGGAAAGAAAATTTTCAAAAAAAATAAAATAAAATTATATATATATATATATATATATATATATATATATATATATATATTATTGTTTCCATATAGTTTAGTTCGATTCCTAAGTTAGAAATTTCAACAAATAAATATTGAGCTATTATTATATTTATTTTAGTAGTAGTGGTATTTTATTTTGTTTACTCTTTATCCATTACAAAGAAAGAAAAAAAAGGTAATTTGAAAATAAAAGGTATTGATCTCTCCGTAGGATTTTGGTCACGAGATTTTGAACCTTTGATATTTTCTTGTTACCTTATCTCTTCTAGAAGCCTTTTCATTTTGTTATTTTTTTTTATATTTTTGACCAATCCATGCTTTACACATAATTCTTTTGTCCATTCTAACAAACTCAAATGCAAAATTCACACATCTTACTAATTTATATTCACAATTTGCATTTACCCATACACATTTACATGGAAGGAATCTTTTTTGGTATTATTTTAACACACTTTTCCACGTATTCACATACTGCACATGCCATCCGTCCATATATATCCACACAATAATAACTGCACAACTTTTCCTCCAAGCAACTCTCCATATGTAATCACCAAGGTAGAGAACAGAAAACAGAGAAGAACGAAGGGGCTGGGGGGAAAAAGAGAACAGGGAAAAGGGAACAAAAAAGAGAACGGACTGATCTGGGGAACGAAAATACAAGGGAAAGGGGATTTTCACAACAAAAAATGGGAAAAGGGGTTGGGCAGATTTCAGAAAACACACACAAAGCCACACACAAAAATAAAAAAGGGAACAAAACGAGGAGGGGAGCTGGATATAAATAAAATGAACGAGCACCTTCCCTGATAAAGCTCAGCCACATCTAATTTCCAAGAACGACAACCTCCCAAAACCAAGCTAATCCCCCTTCACCCTATGACAACATGCCCTCCTCTATAACATAAACGAAATGAAAATGACGAGAAACAGAGGGGAAAGAGTAGAGAGAATAAACCAAGCATAAAATCAAGATCTTAAAAAAAAGAAAACACAACCTTCTTCTTCATAAAAGATCTAGCTCTAAAACCAACCTTTATCAGTCAGAAATGAGCTTTCAAACTCCATAAACACAGCAGTTTGGTCTTCTTCACCATCGATTCGAGTTTTCGTCTGCGGTTCGTCACATTTTTTGAGTTCAAAGCTGTCAAACAATTGAATTTCTGACTTATTTGAGGTTTATTTCTCCCTTTCCGCTATTGTTTTTGCTTAAGGTCATGCTTTTGTTTTGATAGGCTCGTTAATCAGTCTATGTTCTGTTTTGTTGATCGTCTGAGTTTAACCTTTATTCCTATGTTTTGGAATGTGTCCTATTAGTATTTGGTTTGTTTATTTTTGTTTCGCTAATTGTTGTTTATATATGGTTTGGTTTAATCTTCTTGGATAGATTTTCATGACTAAAAATGAGTTCGGTTTCCCCGATTCATTGCTACACTAAGGTATAGATGTTTAATGAGTGTTAGATTAAAATTTTGGTGACTTCAAGCATCTGGCAACACCTCAAATGAAAACTGACGTGTCTAAAATGTAGTCTAAATGAAAATTAAAACAAAATGAAGTAGAAGAATTGAAATTGCAACACTTAAATGTCACATGCTTCTAAAAGTTCTTTTGGCCTCACAATAATTTCAAACATAGAAAACTAAATAATTTATGAACATCATAGTTGTGACGACCCAGCCAGTCGTCTCATGAGTACCGCTCTATTTCCTCCATTTCAGCTTCTTTATGATTCGTTATCCGTGTTTTGTGGTATTGGGTTGGACAGATCGAGTCCGGAATGAGTTTGGTGAAGTTTGAGACACTTAGTCTCTTTTAAGAAGGCTTAAGTTGGAAAAGTCAATTGGATGTTGACTTATGTGTTAGAGGGCTCGGATATGAGTTCTGATGATTCTGTTAGCTTTGGGAGGTGATTTGTGACTTAGGAGCATGATCATAATGGGTTTTGGAGGTTCGGAGTAGACTTAGGCTTGAATTGGTGAAATTGATATTTTGGCGAATTTCAGTTGATAGGCGAGATTTTGATATAAGGGTCGGAATGGAACTCCGAGAGTTGTAGTAGCTTCGTTGTATCAATTGGGATATGTGTGTAAAATTTTAGGTCATTTGGACGTGGTTTGGTTGGGTTTTTCATCAAAAGCGTATTCGGAAAATTTTAGAAACTTAGGCTTGAATCTGATGTGATTTGGTAGATTTGATGTTGTTTGGGGTTTTTTGATGATTGGAACAAGTTTGAATAAGGTATTGGGTTATGTTTGTGCTTTTGGTTGAGGTCCCAGGGGGCCTCGGGATGATTTTGGGTGGTTAACGGGGAAGTTGAAGTGTAATTGCAGCTGCTGAAGTTTTGCTGCTTCTGGAGTTTTCTTACCTGCGATTTGGGGACCGCAGGTGCGGCACCGCATATGCGTTGGATTGGCCATAGAAGCGAATCTTGGGAAGAATGTCTGGAACCGCATATGCGGTAGAGGGACCGCACCTGCGGAGTAGCAGATGCTGTTTAGGCTAGATTAGTGAATTTTCGCAGAAGCAGAGTTTTGACTGCAAATGCGGTACCGCAGATGCGGTGGGTATGCCGCAGATGCGGAAAAGCCTGGGCAAAATGCATATATTTCTTCCTTCACGATTTTTTAAGGGTTTAACCATTTTTAAACTGGAAATTGGGAGCTTTGGGCGATTTTGAGGAGAGGAATCAAAGGGACTTCGTTAAGGTATGGATTTTGAAACCTAAAACACACTTCTAAAAATGGAGGATTAGGGCTTGAGTTTAAGAGGCCTTAAGTTGAGAATTTGAAGGGTCATTTAAACTCTGATTTTGGTATTCTTGATACGTATAGACTCGTGGGGAGATAAGGAATCTAATGATGTAAAAATTTCTGAGTTTCGAGAAGTGGGCCCAAGGCTCAGGTTTTGATAATTTCGGAATTTTTGGTATTTTTCGATTGTTTTCACTTGGGCTTCATTACCTTAGCATATTTTGACGCCGTGACTCTGATTTTGAATAGATTCGATACGAGTGGAGGCCGATTCGAGGAGAAAAGGCATCCCGGAGTAGTATTTTCACCTGTTTGAGGTAAGTAACCATTGTAAATCTGGAACTGAGGGTACAAAACCCCGATAGTTGTCTTGTTTTGATAAAAGCGGTGGCGCTCATGCTAGGTGACGAGCGCATGAGCGTGCATCGGTAGGGATTTCCACCTGGTCCGTCCCATAGCAATTATTAAGTCACGTATTTGATTTGAAAATACTATGTTATTCCGTATTTTGGATATTTGTACTGTATTATGGGTTGTATCCCATGTTTGGGACCTTGTATCGACCTGTAGAAACCCTTAGGGGTATTTTGACTATTTTTCCTCACTTTACTTGCTAAAAGCATATCCTCAGTCGTTTTTTACCTGTTTAAAAGCTAAAACTGGTTTCATCGCTTTACTCCTAATTGTGAGGACTATTTGGGCTGAGTTCCCTGATTCCTATTGTTGTGCCCGAGAGGTTGTGAGGTTAAGGACTGAGAGAGGTTGATAACCCAATTGTGAGAATATTATATGTATATATTATGGATCAGGATGCACGGCGCATCGATACTTATATGGATCGGGCTGCACATCGCAGCGATATATATATTGGATTGGGCTGCACGCAGCAAATATGATGCTTGGGCTGTAAGAGCCCCTCCGAAGTCTGCACACCCCCAGTGAGCGTAGTCGACTATAAATGTATGGATCAGGTTGCACGCCACAATGGTTACTATGATTTCTATTATTATGAGATATAAATGAGATGAATGCTGAGAGTGAGTACTAAGTGACGAGAGTTGAGTCACGAGTCACTGAGAGGCTGCCCGAGGGGCCAGATTCTGTCTGATTCCTTTCTCGAGAGGCCTTGTCTTGATGTTTTCACTGATTTCACTCTTATTTTAAATAAGCCTCTATTTGATATACAGCTATGTAATTGGTTCCAAATGTTTAAACAGGAAATGTGGTTTTATAACAAAAAATGATTTTTGAACCGTAAAGATGACATGTTATTTCGTTGGTTATTCCGTTATGTGTTTTTGAACTGCTCATCACTACTTTCAGACCTTATTTACTTTAGTTACATATTGAGTTGGCGTACTCACGTTACTCCCTGCACCTTGAGTCCAGATCCAAGTGCCCGAGTGAGCATTATTTAGTTGGTTCAGTTTTCTGTCGGGGATTTCGAGGTAGCAACATGGCGTTCGTAGCCCTGTTCTCTACCTTCTATCTTGTTATCTTTTTAGTATTTTCTAGACTATCTATGTAGTAGGATGTTTGGACTTGCATTAGAGGCTCTAGACTCATGACACCAGATCAGTTGGGCTGTGTAGTTTATTATTATTTTGACTTCCACATATTTTCTGTCATTTTAAACATTTATTATGAAATCGGTGTTTAAAACTCGTGTTGGAAATGTTTTCTTACTAAAGGAAATGGGTTGTGGTTAGTGGACTGGTTGGCTTGCCTAGTAATGTGACAAGTTGGTATCAGAGCCTAGGTTACATAGGTCTCGTGAGTCATGAGCTGGTTTAGTAGAGTCTCGCGGATGAGTATGGAGACATTTGTATTTATCCTCGAGACGCTGCAGAACCTTTAAGAAAAACTTCATATTCTTGAAATTCTTGTCGTGCAAATTTCTTGATCCGAGTATTAAACATATGATATTCCATTCTCTCACAGATGGTGAGGATACGTGCTACCGAGTAGGGCGGATGATCGCTAGTACCACCAGCTGGGGTCACCGGAGGCCGAGGTCGCGGTCGAGGCCGTGGTAGGGGCAGAGCAGCTAGAGTAGCACCGACAGATCCACCAGCTGCCCTAGTTCCGGATCAGGTCCTGGTTGTGGATGTTATAGCAGCACCGGTTCAGGTACCAGCTGTGCCTATTGTGATCCCAGGTCTCCAGGAGGCTTTAGCTCAGATATTATCAGTTTGTACCGGTTTGGCTCAGGCGGTTTCAGCTACTATGGCCGCAGCTACTTCCCAGGCCGGGGGAGTCACCCAGACTCCCGTTGCTCGCACACCTGAGTAGGTAGTGAAGGGATTACAGACAATGGGGGCACCTCAAGCCCAGCCGGTTGCACCAGCTCAGAAGTTTGTAGTACCAGTTATGCCAGATGATGAGCAGCGTCGACTTGAGATGTTTGGTAGGCTCCAACCTCCGTCATTCAGCGGTGCAGAGGGCGAGGATGCCTAGGGGTTCTTGGATAAGTGCTAGCGAATGCTTCATACAGCAGGGATTCTTGAGACTAGTGGTGTGGTATTTACTACATTTTAGTTTTCTAGGGCTGCCTTCACTAGGTAGGAGGCGTATGAGAGGCGTAGGCCTGTTGGTGTAGCGCCCCTTACTTGGTAGCAGTTCTCTGTTCTCTTCCTGGATAAGTATGTACCACAGTAGCACCGAGAGGAGCTGCGCAAGCAGTTTGAGCAGCTGCGCTAGGGGGAGATGACGGTGACGCAGTATGAGATGCGGTTTTCTGAGTTAGCTCGTCATGCGGTTTGGATGGTTCCTACCGACTAAGAGAGGATAAGGAGGTTTGTTGATCGCCTCACGTACCAGCTTCAGATTCTCATAACTAGGGAGAGAGTGACAGGTGCTACCTTCGAGGAGGTTGTTGATATCGCCCGTGAGATTGAGTCGGTTCACCGGCAGAAGCGAGAGGAGAGGGAGGCCAAGAGGCCTCAGGGATCTGGTAGATTTAGTAGTGCTCCTTCGAGGGGTCAGTTCTAGTAGGGCAGAGGCTGTTCATTCAGGCATGCTCATTCAACTCGCCCGGGTTGCCGTGGAGTATCATCGGGTCATGGCTTTCATAGTTCTCATCAGGGCCACTCATCACTTAGTGCCCTTCCAGCTCAGAGCTCGTCTCGTGCTCTATCAGTCTAGGGTTCTTCCATGCCAGGTCCTTCTACTTGTCACTCTGGTGTCAGGGGTTCCCTTCAGTCCCCATCTCCAGCACCGGGGAGTTATTATGAATGTGGCTGTTTTGGGCATATGAGGAGGCAATGTCCTTGTCTTCGTGATGGTCAGTCTCAGCAGAGGGATCAGCCCTCAACTTCTGCTCCAGTTACTTCACCACCCGTCCAGCCCGCTAGTGGTGGAGGTTAGGCAACCAGGGGTCGCCCAGAAGGGGAGGTCGATCAGGCGGTGGTCAGGATCGTTTCTA